AGCCCTGTTAAAAAAAAAGAGGTTCGTTTATTGTGCAAAGCGTAGGAAAGATTATTAAAAATCAGCGGCATTAGACAAAACTGTGTACGGAAAAGTAAAAATGAAAAAGGGGGGATAAAAAGAGTTTCCTATCTAATGATTTTACTTTTTCGTTATTTTAAGTGTATTCCTTTTTGTTTGCTACTGATCTGATGTGCATAACCAAATGAGCTTTTTCTCCAGATTTAGAGTTTGAAAATAGAGATAATATATTTCTGTTTATTATAATATAGGTTATTCTTTTTCCAATGGTTTTTTAACTGCACTTGGATTAACTGTTATTCTGAATAAATATTGGAAGTCGTTCCCGAAACCACCCCTGTAATCGGGAGTTTACTCTGTAAAATAAAATATATGTGTAAATCAAAATACTAACTTCTTTTAATTCCCCATTTTAATTTCGTTATTTCCAGTTTCGTTCCTCAAAATAGTAACTGCTTATAATAAATCTCTATTTTGCGTCATTTAAAAAATAAATCCATGTCATACCATTCTTGCATAATGCTAATGACGCATTAAATTACATAATACTTCAGCCAGTAATAATTTTTGAAAGTTATTTTTAACCATAATTTTTGAAAGTTATTTTTAACCAATCAAAATACAGCTAAACCAAAACTAAATCCATCGGAACCCAATTTTCATTTTGGACTTGACATTCGCTTTCCATTTCTCTCTCTAGCTAGACAGCTGCCGCTGCTTTTTTACGGCAATGCCTTCAAAAATGCAAAAAATTCTTCAAGGACAAGCGCGCTTCTTGAGCCACTTTATCAGTGCTGGCTTGAAAATGTTTGTCAACTAGAGGAAAGAGATGTATTAATATTAATACAATGAGCTAATATTCTTTTATGCAACAAAATCTTTATGCAAAATTACTTATCCTGTCCTTTGAGCAATCCTATTGTTTATTGCGAGCGTTCGAGTTCGCAATAGATTGAATGCACACATGTATGATGATAGGTTGATAATATTTACTTTATCAAAGGAAACACTTCAGAGTTCTGGAACTTTCCACAGAAATAATCGTACAGGTGTTGACAATATCGCAGAGTACAATCAGTAGTTATACTTCAAACTACTATAAACATTATCCACAACGCAATACAAACCGCAGCTAAAGAGAGAAGCTAAACCGGATACAGTACTCAGAATTCATGCTGAGCTGAAAGCTAACACCCAGATGCTCTCACCGGCCTGATAAAATTTTCACCCTGCCGCCGAGATATTTCTAGTACTTTCTGCTTCTCGAAATTACTGGACGGAAATATGAGGGTCGAATTACGGCTACAGCTAATATAGTGATCACTTACATTTACTCAATTACAATACCTATTATGGTAATACAGGGACCGGACTAAAATGTCGCCAAATGATCGCCAACTTTGCGACCTTTGACTATTTCTCGCCAAATTGGCCAAAAATTAATCGCCAAGGCCGTCGCTAAGTTACCAAGATACCCGTTTGCTCAATGTTAAATGGATTTGCCCCTGTATTCCTACTTTTCTGATGTAGCTTTCCTCCCTAGATTTTTTTTTTTTTTTTTTTTTTTTTTTTAATGTTGCCTTACACAGAAAAATACAATTTCACATATAACTGCAGTAAAATCACCTATCTAAGTAAAATATTCGTAACACTATAGCAGAAGGCTCACGTTAGAAAGACAGTTACTAAATTTAATTATTAGTAGCTTAGAGTAAGCTACACAACGTCAGACTCTTAGTACATTTACATTATGCAGCATGTGCTTATGATTTACAACTTCGGGCAGTCAGTAAGGATTTTGGTCACCTGTGATTCGTGTGTTAAACAGAAAGTGGCCTTATTTTTTTCGCCTCCTTTTTCTTTTATTCTTACCTGTTATTTATCTCAATGAAGATTCAAATTTTCTTGGGTTTAGTTATTTAAGGAAACCTTTTTGGTCTCACAGCATGCAACAATGTTTTACTTAGATGCTTATTGATATATTAATTATTATCATAAAGTAATATTTACAAACATAATGATAATCAGTATATTACTAAACCCTATGTTTTCTCTACGCAATATTCCATTTTACAAACATACTCATTATCGACCTGGGAGAGATTAGTTTTCCATAGTGAAGAATCTGCACTCTACATCAGTAAATAACCCTGGACATACGGAAGAGAATTTCTGCTGCAATCAACAAAATAATATCACATATGCTTTTTAAGGTTTCAGTTAAGGTAAATTAAAAGCTAGAAACTGTGTTATTAAAGAAGTCAGCTCTTGTTTGACGTGCCTAATGTTGACACATAAGTAAACTAAACTGACGTGCGATATGTAAATTTCAGATTACAGACTGTACACTAATTACCACGAATTTGAAACTAATAAACTGTCTGATAAAAATTATCAACTGTACGTATTCTAAAATAAATGCGTTTTAATTTATATAATTTGGATACGGTATTAAAAAGTAAAATAAAATTTAATTACTAAAAAAGCGTTATTCATTTTTAATAGATTGATCAGATTTGAAAGAAGATAAATCTTGTTTCTCTGTCTAGCGACACACGACGAAGCAGCTACGCTTGAGGGCGAAAGAAATTAAATAAGTCTTACATTTGGTGCAATGGCAAAGCATTGCTTTAAAAATCGGTCAGTTTATTAATTAATAACATACTCATTAAATCTGAAGATCTCACGAATTCAAGATCTAAGAATTAAAGACTTTACTGAATGGCAAAATCGTGAGGCTACGCGCCATGTTTTACATTAGGCCTCCGCAACATATGACCCGCGAGTCACAGAGTAACCCATTTCATAATTTCGTGAGACCCACTTGAGTTTCGAAAATAAAATATAACATAATAAATTATAAATCATAAATATGAAACGAGCATTTGAAGCATACATAAAAAATAAACCGAAAATAAACAATAACATTTTTGTTTAATGAAAAAGTTACAATAACGAACACGCATTTTTATTTTTGCAACAATTCCAAGGAGAAACCTATAAGTTTGGATACGCGCAACCATAATCCATAATTCCAGAAAACTCGCTTTGCCTTTTTGTCCGCTTTCAATAGTCAAATGGTGTACTATTTATATTAATTGCCTATTACTGAACACAAAATTAGATTTGGGCGCATAGGTAAGCGCAAGAAATGTGCAAATTAGACAACAATATTGCACAATAGATGCGTATTAGAATTCAGATATGTTACATGATGTGGTGTATGGGACACAGCCCGACCCTCCTGGCATATTTTACATCGCCCTATGGCCTTTTTGCGGGCTGCGCCAAAGCAAGCTAGAAACAACAGCAGTTCCAACAGAACAAAAGATATGAAGATGGCTAATAAAAGGCAACCAAGGAAAATAATTCAAACAGGCATGTAACATTGTTTAAATTAATGCGGTTTCTGAGAATGATCAATGCTTATTACTTATACCTCAGATATACCATATACGGGAAAAGTAAAAATGGCGGTTAACTGGTACACTCGAGAAGGTGCAAATACTAACATAGCTTGCCCAAGATCTGAATATCAAACTATCACATCAAGAACTTTGAATAACATTTAAGCAGTGAATCTTAATAGAGAGCTTATTCAAAGGCGGCAAAGAGTCACATCTGCATCCGAGGACCGTTTTCTGTCACTGTCGGCTCGAAGAGACAGTGAGACGCCTGCGAAAAGATGTGAAACCTGGCTGCCACAGGAACTCGAATCAGCCTACTGCTGCACAAAAATGGACTTGCGAAAAAGCCAATAGTTTGTGTTTTACTCGCTTCATCTTCGAAAAGGTTAAGTTTAAAGTGGCGTTGTCGTCATTTCAATGAAGCTAAAATGAAAGAGACCGTATACTACTTACTGATTAGCCTAGATTCATGCCGAACTGTTATTCTAGAGATTTTTTATCTGGAGGAAACGGGGAACACGCATGCTCTCTTTGTTTATGAAAACTTCTGTTTCTAAGGAAGCAGTTTCATGGTTTGAGGTGGAATCATCAAAAAGGAATGTCATCAATCATCAACAGAGGTCCATATCTTCAAGAAAGTTCTGTAATCGGTCACAGATATATGGACAAAGTCTTGATCTCCAGGTCTTGGTCTGTTCAAGAGTGCTGCTGGCCCAGATTTTGTGTTAATGAATGACAATACTTGCAATCGAGCAATTCTTGCATCGGTTATACTTAGCAGCAGAAGATATTCGAATGGCTTGGCCAGCTTATTCACTAGATTTCGATCCGATTAAGCATGTATCAGATGTTTTAAGTCGCTAAATTACAGCGCGCTTTCCTAGATCCTCCATGATCTAAAAAATGGCCTTTCAGAAGAGTTGCGTGTTATTCCAATAAACCTGATCAACAGTTTGGTATATTTTACGAAATCAGGATGTGATTTACAGAAGTTTGCTTTTCTGTCAGAGATGACGCTACATCATGTTGAAGAAAGATTTTTTGCAAAACAAGGGAGATAGTTTCCCTATCATTTTTAATTTTCTACTTGTTTAACTTTAAATTCAATATTTTCAGATTGACAGTCGTCAAACATGGTAATTTAAGCTAAATAATGCTTATGTACAAATTGTTTTTAATCATTTTTAATACGTAACAGTTACATTTTATTTCGTTTCGTAACATTAAATTTTGAAGAGCAGTATAATGCATAAAATTTTGCCTCCAGTGTACTAATACATGTATGCAAAAATGTTTTTTGAAACTCTGAAAACTGTACTTTCAGAGATAAATAGCATAACATTTATATGCTTTTTTACGGAAAAGAATGCAAATTTTCACATCCATTTTTTAAAAAACATAATACGCACTTTCATGAAATGCTTCAACATTTCTGTTTTTTTTTTTTAAATAATTCTTCACAAAAATATTTACTAATTTGAAGGAATAAAAATATGCTTTAATAATGAATTATGGTTTCTTCTTACAAGCAGAAGTAAAAAAAAAAAAGGAAAGGAAAACAGGCATACGTACTCGCTGGTAGAAAAGCAATGAAAAATGTCCAAAACAGCATAACGATTCCAGTATGTTTATATCATGTGTTCAAAAACTTCCAGCCACTTTACTTCTGAAAAATAAAAATATAGTTGACATATATCATAGCTAACAGGGTAAAATTACAGATTATTAACAATGTAAAACTGGAAATCAGCGAAATGGATAAAATTATGAACAATGAAACAACACGAGCAGATAGTAAAAAATGATAACTATTAACAATATAAAAAGCCATTTTCATCAAGTTTAAAGTTTTCATCGTTTTCACCAAATATTCTTTCTTGGTAAGGGATTGGGGGGGGGGGTAAAAAACAATAAAGCTCCAAAAGAAATCTAGATTTTTATAGATCTCATTCTATTCTTGGCCTCGAAGAGGATTCCATATGATTTTAACAGTTTCTTTTCCAGGAATGATTAAATTTGAGCCTCTGTACGATGTTTCTAACAGAAAAAATTTTTCCAAATTTCAGAGGTTTGTTTTCTTGTTTTATTAACAGCCTATAGACGCAGTTTACAAAGGAAATTAAGAAAAGAGGCTAAAGAAGGTCAATTGAAAATATATTGTTAAATACATACGGTATGTTGTTACGTGCGTGCAGTATTTTTCCTAAAATCTTAAACAGACAGATGACTGTTTTGCGTCGCAGAGGTATTCAGGTGTGCAAACGATCATCTCTTATAATACGATCTGAGTGTTTTAATGACTCCTTGGTCTATTTCAGGTTTTTTTTTTTAATTATATACGCATAGGCATTTACTGGAGTATATAATATAGACAGAACAGATATTAGTGAACTTAAGAATAATATCCTTCTTGTGCTTGGGCTATCATAACACTTCTCAACATGGCCAGTAGAATCCTTGAGCTTGCCCGCCAAACTGCATTTTCCAGTTGTTTTGAAGTCAGTCAGTCTTCACTGTTCAACTGCAATACCCACTCAGCTTCTGTGACAGAGTCTGTTCTAGTTAAGGTTTCCACTGCAACGATCGATAACTGCATGGATCTGCGGTCTACAGTATGCTAATTCCCACATATCTAGGTATGCATTATCATTATAAGGTCACAGTCCCGATCCTCCTAGACGGCACAAGCCGGCGGTATGATAAAAAATGGGACTGGCTAGGAAACACAAATATAAGAAAAAACAAAAAGTCTAAAATCTGAGTCTCAGTGCCAAATTCCAATTCGTTCGTATTTATAATTTTCATTATTGTCTCTGCAAAATCTTTCAAATTTGATTAGTTAGATGTACATTCTGGCAGTGTTGCCCATTCAAATTGTTAGGTACTACCCTATATCACATTTTAAATACTTGGCCTATTATCAGCTATGAGTCTTGGAATATATTACCGCTGATAAAATGGCACTGCTGTATTTTCAGAAGCGTTTAAACTCCCGACACATTACATCAAATATTTTCCTCTTTTTCAAACCACAATTTTCAAATTTGTTGTATTACTACAGTCGACGGACACAGCTCAACCAACACCGTCTCCAACAAAGAAAAAGATGATATTGGCTTAAAGGCTATGAGGGTAAACGTTACAATTGATGGGATGGCCTATATGCCTCTATTTTAAAACATTTCGGGCTTGTTTAATAAAAGATCAACGTAAAACTCCGTCGACCTAAGGCCTCGTATCCCCTTGGCCGAGAACGAGACCACTTAAAGAGGTCACTCGAGGGCGGGAGAGACGATGGTAAAAAAAAGAGGGCGGCAACTTCAGAATAATGGAATGAGGTGAGACATCATCGTTGCTGTTTAATCAGCGGCTTACGTATTATCACGAAAGACTGAGTATCTGTTAATATGGTGTTAATTTAGCAATGTCTTATGGTAATAATAAGTTTCAATAACTAGAAATTGATAACTAGTTAGCACAGACTAAAGCTTCATATTTTTATTAAAAACCTTATTTGCTTTAACTTATGAATAAAAACCAAAAAGCATTTTAAATTTGAAAAACCTACTTTACGCAAAAAATTCAGTTTTGAATAAAATCATGCCCTTTTATTTCTAAAACAAATGTTTTCACTTAACTTTTAATTGTAATAAATCTTACTGGTTGAAATTTGCTAGATATCTGATTAATTTTTAGAGTCCTGTCATCTACTTAATGTCTTCAAAATTTTAGTATATTCAAATAAATATGCTAGTGCAAGAACCATCAATAGAAAACTTCTGGAAGGGGGAATAAAAAAAAACCCTGCAAGTGCCTCTTACATTCTTGCAATTTTGCTCTTAAGCTTCTTCCATTTGTTTAATGTATAATTATTTTCAGTAAGTTTCTTGCACAAGGTAAGAGGCCCCATTTCCCTCTTACGTTTAGTTTCATTTTACTACGAATCAAATGACATTCAGTTTGATAATATTTAGGAATTCGGTTTTTACTATTATTATTAATAGTAGCAGCAGTAGCACTGTTATAAAAGTAGAGGCCTTAATCCCAATTTCTTCTTACATATGGTTGTTTTGATGGAAAGTGCACTGTAACGAATAAGAAGAGCTTATTGCAAAGAAATATTTCTTTTAGAATGTTAAAACAACACACGAAAAGTAACATTGTTAAAGTTCCCATCGTATTCCCATATGATTATATTATGTAGAGTCTAAGTTACTTTGGAGCAGGAGACGAGAAAAATATGCAATGGCGTCATAGGATCTCGAACCTGGACCTCTCGAATACGCACTGAGTGTGCTACCGTTACACCACAAACGCATGCTGGAAGGAGGGAGAAAATGAAGCACTGATGAAGAATAAGACTAAAGTAATACATATAACTCAAAATTACGCTCACGATACAAAGTATTATAGCTCTTATATAATACCTTAGCAAAGAATATGATTGCCGTTGTTTCTGGTTTGAAGTTGTTTATTGTGATAATATGATACCGAACATAGACACGTCCAACTGCAAGAACATGGCCTGGTTTACTACACAGTGACGTCACGGAAGGCATTTGAGTCTTCCACGAATTTGCTTCGGTTTGACTGTGCGCGTTTCGTTAAATGTTTAGAGTCTTTTGTTTTAAATAACGCATAGTAATTAATTTTTCAGAGATTTACGGAAAAACGTGTATAAAAGATCGTTTATACATTTATAGTTAAGATTGATAGCTTTATAGGTACTATTTTAAGAAATATTCATGAAAATTTCTATCCAATGTTTTACGATATTTTGTACAATTATTTTTATATTGCATAGTAATGACATTTTAGGATTTGCTGAAAAACAAAGTTTTAAAACAAATTAATAAATAAAGGTTGCTATTTATTAATATAAATAAATCTTTACAGTTTGATTGTTCTTACTTCCTCTAAATACTAAAATAAAATTCTTACTCCGAAAAATATATTTTCAAAATTTACTGTTGATTTCACTGATCCCAAACTCTGCAGGTTTATTTTCGTAGATGTGAAGGAAAAGGGGAAGAAAGGAATGAAAGAATTCCAAAGTATAATAATTAACCGACAAAATATAAACACTATTTAGCCAATTAAAAGACAAAAAAAGATTTTTATATTGTCTTATCACAATATAATTATTTATTAATAATTACTGCTGTTTTTAATTTTAAGAATAACTTGAATGAACGATCAGTAATACATCCAATGCTTTACTGCAGATCTTTCAAAAAGTATGTATTTTGTATTCATTTCTGTTATTATCTAACAAAAAGAACAGGAGATCAAAAGTCAGAGCAAAATTGAAATTTCCTAAAATCCTCTTGGCATTTGCCGACATAAATTAAAAATAAAGCGTAATTTTGTGCTACATTACATCAAGCGAATTACAGAATTATTACTAATGTAATGACATCTTTCTAATCTGATAATAAAGAAGAAATCATAAAAGACTGAACAGACGTTGCTTCAATACTTTCAAGATTCTTAGGAAAGCCAATAATTTTTTTTTACATTTATTTCTACGTCACCTTTTTCCCTCGAACCTCATCAATATATAAATTCACGACTTGTTTCATGTCCCACTAATTTTTTAACTTTACCTTTTACATGCTTGCAGTTAGCTTCATTGTTCGTTAATATATCAAGCTAGGCCGAGAATTTTTCAGAAATGGTCAATCCATGGTCAGGCTGATTAGTTGACTGTCATAGAGGCCTACGTATAAGAAGCAGCTTACTTTTGCGATTTGATTTGACTTGATTTAGATTACAGCAAAACGCACTTGGGCTGTCTGTCTGAGGGATGCTTGCGCGGAGGGCTTTCTAAGGCAACTGGCTCGTTTACACGTTATACATGGGCAAAAACACGAAAATGCCCTTGCAGCCAACCCTTTCACCTGGATTCGAATCCAAGTCGGAACTACCAGTGTTCAGCGATTTTACCGCTCTGTGGCTGGTGGGATAATGTATAACGAATAAGCAAAGACCAGTACCTTCTAACCACTTTACTTTTATTACACATCTTAATTTGTTCCAAAAAAAAAATGTTATATTTCTCAAGTAAGATTCTAAGTGATTTTAATTCTTCAACGTATGATTCCTAGTTATATACTGGTAAGTCATAGTTCGATTTTAATGTTTTTAATTACTATTCTTTTAACATAACTATAAATGTTTTCAAATTCAGTCCATAAAGTAAGTTTAGTATTTCCATTTAATATATTTTTACATACTCCAATTTCAACAGTTTCTTGTCCAAGCGACACTGCTGTATTCATATGAAGTGATAGTTAGATACGTTTCCCAACTTTAGGCTGTAGATTAAAAATAAGCAATAAAATATAATTTGCATCAGCAGATTTTATGTCGAATTAAATCTGAATCATCTGAAATATTTAGTTTATTCCATAATGAAGAAGAAAAATCCTCAAAAGGTGGAATTTTGTCTTTTTTCAAAAATTCATTAAAAATATGATTATCCATATTGGCTCTCTTTTCCTCTGTGCTCATTCTCGGAGATGTCGGATTATCAGATAAGTATTTTGGACAATCAGAAAAAATGCATGGATAAGCATTGTTTATAATTTAGGGTGTCCTTTACAAACTTAAACAATAATGCCTTCATTCTTTGATAAATAATCGTACAGAATGATTTCATCTTCT